AGGCACCATCCAACCATCTTAGGGACTCCACTCTGGATTTGTGTAGGGTTTACTCCTTAGCTGTTTCTTCTCCCAAAGATAGTCCACAAGGTAGCAGAGATTTAGGATCAGAGTTTTTCTTCTCCTTGATGGTCTATCTTCCCAGGTTGACTATCCCCATCTGTCCTTCATTCCCTCAACAGCACGTACAGCAACTGCCTTGTTGATGTTGGACCCACTATGGGTCTTGTCCACTCAATCTGCCAGAGTTTGTCTTCTCATGCTGGGGAAGCCCCTAACACATTGAGGGCTACCCTCACCTGGTTTAGCTGGCCAGTAGAAACCATTTACTGGGATGTGGCCGCTGTCACATACTGACAGCTTCTCGGAGCCACAGGTGATAGCTGAGTGCAGGGTGGGAACCAAAGGTGGACAAACTACCCCAGAAGGAACACAGTGTGCTCCCCCACCAGAAGTACGAGTCTTCTTCTAATACCCCACACATCACAAAAATAGCTTAATAAATTGGCGGCAATAGCTACTACATATGGTTCATTATTAGTGGTCATTGTACAAGTTCTTGGTTCATGGAGTATTTTAAATAAAAACAATAACAAAGGGGAAACAGGATAGAACAGAGTTAACAGATAACATTCAACATTGCTTAGCTAAAAGGCCTAATCAGGAGCCATTTTGGTTGTGCTTAGATTAAGTACAAGTAATAGTCAATTTTTTCTCTTATGTTTCCAATGGAACAATATAAAATGCTGGTATATTAATGAACGTGGGAGGAGGCTTCAAAGTGAAGATAATAATTTATGTTTAAATTTAAATTTAGATCAACCAGATTAAGCCAAACACAGATGGCAGGGATTATTCATTTTCTGGAATACTGGCATATGTTATTAAATTCAACCACACCGGGGTAAAACCATCTTTCTTGATCTGTCCACATGTCAACTGTAGTTTATTTGTTAATATCTCAAGAAGAGCTGTTTCCCAAACTGTTTTGTACCAGTTGTCTATTGTAGTGCCAGAAAGGTCTTTCTAGGTCTTGTTATATTGCTTCTCCCTGCTTGTAATAAATGGCTTACTAATTCTTTATTATGTAAATCCTGATTGTTGTCTTGGCCGCATAGCTTTTGTGAGTCACTTATGGTTAGGGAGAAAAATACATATATCACAGCTCATATAAACATTCCCTGCCTGGTTACCTGGAGAAACCTCTTCCTTAATTAGTGACTTTAGAGGCCTTATTAGAGATTGCTATTACCCTGATAAAATCTAATGTATTTCTTGCCTTTGCAATATAGATACATAATGAAGCCTTCATCATACATACAAATATTGTGGTCTCAGTTATCTGAGTTCTGGTACTGGCCCGGTGGAGTATTGACTGTCACCACCTTCTGAATATAGAATATTAAGACTCTACAGTAGCTTGGCTAAAAGGCATAGAACAAGAATGTAGGGCGAAATACTGTATAGGTTATTTGGAATCCCCTTAGATTAAATCACATCAGCTGTACCTTAACCAAACATTTTGATTTTTCAAAATATACAGAATATGGTATTACAGTCAATTTAAATAAACAAGAAAAGTTTATTCTGGACTGCTAACATAGGCAGGTGGCTGCAGCTCTACAGAATTCCCTCATGCTACCATTTGAATTGCTGGGCTTGGATGGGTAATCATAGTGACAGGAGCAGCTCCTATCTGGTCTGGTGAAGGGTCCCCTGAGAGTTTCTGGGCCCTCAGCCACTGCCCTGCCTGCTTCCTCCCTAGTGCTAGGCCTGTGTATTTGGCCTATGATTTCTTTGACAGAAATCTTTATCTTGTCAGTTACTTCCTTAATTACAGATGCAAGATATAAACCAGTAATAGCATGAAACTTTGTCCATTATTGTGGGTTTTCGGGGGCTGATTTCCTGACATAGCAGGGAGACATAACCCACTGCCTCTTAAAATTTAATTTTGTAAAAGAAATCCACTTTAAAAGTTCATAAAGCACAGTGAGGCTGTTCTGTATGTAATGATGTCACTGTAGCTCCCAGGCAGAGAACTCTGCTGATGGATGTGGCTATAAAAAGTGAAGCAGGTTAGCTTTTTGATTGCTTCACACTGTAAATCTATCTGACAGATTCATGCTGAGTTTTCCTGTTAGATATTAGTTAAGCTTAAGTCTGATTTACTTGTTCAGATCATTGGCAGTTTTTCCTAATGGCATCAGTTCTGCTGAAGGCCAGATAAGAAAGTGGGAGCCCTGTCCCCAAGACGTGTTTAGTACAGTGGTACCTCGGTTTACGAACTTAATCCGTTCCTGAAGTCCGTTCTTAAACCAAACCCGTTCTTAAACTGAGGCACACTTTCCCTAATGAGGCCTCCCGCTGCCGGTGCCCTTCCACCGTTCGGCTTCTGTTTGTAGACCGAGGTAAAATTCGCAAACCAGAACACTCCTTCCAGTTTTGCGGAGTTCATAAACCGAATAGTTCGTAAACAAACAGAACTGTTCATAAACCAAGGTACCACTGTACTTCTGTTGCAATTTGGTGAAATGAGCCAACCCTCTCTTTCACTGTCTACCTCTATACCTGCATGGTTCTGTATCTGAATGATTAATAATAATAATAATGTATTTTGAAAAAAGATACGGTTAGCATTGGTTTTAGGGAGGTCTGGCATTTGCCTGACCATGGCAGATGCTGACACCAGGTCTGGATATCTCCTTGGGGGAACTTCCGGGGTGGCGCCATCGGCAATGGCGGACTCCCTCTGATCTGGAGGGACTAGCTCCACGCGAAACGGGTCTTTTCCGCTACGGCGAAGCGGGGACCCTTTCAAAAATCACAGGCGGATGAAGCCTGTGACCATGGGACTCTGCGGGCACCATTAGCGCCCCCCGAACCCGCAAAGGAACCCACTAACGGGCTCCGAAGCGAAGAGGGGGAAGTGGCGCGGTGCTGAGAGTCAACTGCTTCGTCCGTGGAGCGAAGCCGCACAGCCGTTGCCGGAGAGCGCTGCCTATTTCCTGGGACAATTTGGCTTCTAAAATAATCACCCGTGAGTACCTAAACTCGGACAATTGGACTTTAAATAAGGACTTGTGAGCAGAAAGGAAAATTGGACTTAAAAGTTTACCTCAATTTGGCACTGAAACGGGAAGGTCTAAACAGGAAGTCAGCCTTCCGTTTCTTTGTAGATAGATTAAAGCAAAGACATGGCAAACTAGAGCTCAGAAAATCGCCTGTAAAAGATTAACTTTCATCATTTAAAATTGTTGAACCCGCTTCGGAAGCAGGAGAAGAGGGGGGATTTTTTCGGACTGTTTAAACCTGCAGAAGTGAGGGTAAAGTAAAGTAACTTTCCACCGTCCTGATCCTGGAGCGGGGTGTTAGGACTGACGTTTTTTTGAAGCTCATTGACCAGAGACAACGTTTTTGACAGATAGCTATAAGAAGAGAAACATTGATTCCATTGTTCCCCTTCGCTTTTAAAGGAACAAATATTGACAAAATATCTGAAAAAGGAAACTTTGTTGCTAGACTTGTCTTTAAAAGAAAGAACAAATAGAAGTTTTCCCCTAGAGGGAGACTGTGAAACTGTAACCAACTCCGGGAAGCTTGCAGCTGTTACAGATTACAATCGTGGGAATAGACTTCTGACCTTGCAGGACAATGTATTCAGAAGCTCTGTTGTGTGCTTTCTATAAAACAAATGCCCTACTGGAACAGTTACATGAGAAGACGGATTTGATGACTGATTCGATCAGAAATTTTAAACAGGCAGTGGGAAATTTTGAACAGGCAGTGGGAAAATATATGGAGCCCACCCAGGAATTAAATCAGGAGTGTGCCCTGACAGAACAGATGAGGGAAGAGGATGTTGCTGAATCTTGGGCGCCAGAGATGGAGGGAGCTGTGGCCCAACAGGAACATGAGCTTTTGGATTTGACAAATGAACTTGGAAAAAGCCAGATTTGGAAAGAAAAAGTTTGGTTTGGTTTGGAAATGGGGGGCTGGATAGACCCCCCTATGCAGGGATGTTTGGACTTTTCAAGTCTGGCAATGGGCCGTGAGATGTTTGGGGTTGTGGGGGCTCCTAATTTTGGAGGGATTTTGAAACATGTTCTTAAATACCACATGGAGTTTAGTGTGGATTATGGAGAAGGGGCTGATCTGTCAAGAAGGGTTAAAAACATTGTTAAGCTGGAGTTCCCACGAGTGAAACCAGCAGGAGACAAGGGAAAATACAGTTATAAATATGAAGAAGAGCTGCAGAAGGGACATGGAAGAGACTTAAGGGCCTCGGATACAAGGTTACCAGGTTAATGCGCTAGATCAATGGGATAATAAGGACTGACAAAACCCGGGACCAGGAGGAAGGGACGCTGGATGAAGATTGGATTGTTTTTATTTCTTTTTTACTACTAGGATTGTTTTATAAAATTGATGAATGTTAGAAAAATGTTGGAATTAAATTACTTGACTTTAGTAAAAATGTGTAAAGAATTACGTAAGAATATTATGGTTATGAGAAGCTTGTAAAAATAAGACTTAAGTTTTAAGGTTTTTTATAGTAAGATAAGATTAAAATAGTTTAAGGTAATGTAATGACAGAATATTATGAAATATGGAAAGGATTTGCTGTGACAATTAATAACTAGGATACAAAAAAAGGGAGGAGGAGGAGGTCAGAGAACGAAGGTAATGACAGTTGAGGATTTGAGAATAATGGATTTGTTTTTAAATGTTTGTGGTGTATTTTTGTTTTTTTGAATTTGTATTGTTTGATGTGGTTTGTTTTTTTCTTTGCTCTTTCTTTTTTCTTTTTCTACTTTGTTCTCTTTTGTAATTAATAGCATTTAAAAAAAAAAAAAGGATATCTCCTTGGGGGAGAGGCCATAGTTCAGAGGCAGAAAACTTGCTTTGTCTGCTGCCAGTCAGAGTAGACAGTACTGTGCTAGATGGACCAGTGGTCCAACAATATAAATCAGCTGCATGTGTTCCACTTCTGAATGTATTTTCAAGGGGAGAAGGAGGGGTGTGTGTGTGCACACACACACACACACACACACACACACACACACACAAATAAATAGATACAGTATCTGACATGAAGATGGAGATACTGGAATGAAAATAGGCATGTACATTCAAAACACAATTACATGTTTCACGTTTGAACCCCACCACCATTTTCGCAACAGCTGGGGTTTTTTTGCAAAGTGAGGCATCTCAGACATGTTTGCAGTTTCCCTCTGCAACTGCTAATCTACAACCTTCTTCTTTATGGAGGAAGGGGATGAAGTCCTGTTCTCAAGTCAGGTGTTCCAGCATTTCTCAAAGGAGTGTTATAGAAACTCTCTCCTTTCTAGGTGGCGAGTTCTGAAGTTGGTTATTGTTGCAATTGACGGTTGTGGAATGCAGTATCATTTTTCTCACCCTCTCATACACACACTCCCAGTTAATAAAACATGCTAGGTGGATTTGAGCAGGTCCTAGTAGATATTGTGTTGAATTCTGCATTAAGTATATATTGGTCTCTGTCCTTACCTCTTTTTGTTAGGCAAAGAGCTCAAGAAATCATGTCAAACCTCTCCATGTGAGATAAATGGGAATGACTCAAAAGTTGCCATTGCAGGTCTCTCTCATTTCATTTGGAAAGGTATTCATTCTGTCAGTAAGAGTACATGAACAACAACTCAGTTATTCGTCAGTTTATGCTTAATCATGAAAAGCATGCTTTCGACAAAATATCACAAAATATTAGTCATGTCACTTGTTTCCAGACCCAGGAAAAATGTGAATTTCTGTTGCAAACAGCAAAAAGTTACTTAATTGCTTGCACATTAGGCTTTTAAAAGAAGGGGGTGGTTTGATATTGTCACGACACTATCTACTACCAAAAAAAGAGCAAGTGGGGTGGGCCGGGTGTACAGATGATGATGTGATTGCTTTTAAAGAGTTTACCATAGAGCTCTAAATACAGTGGTACCTCGGGTTACATACGCTTCAGGTTACAGTCTCCACCAACCCAGAAATAGTACCTCAGGTTAAGAACTTTGCTTCAGGTTGAGAACAGAAATCATGCTCTGGCAGCGCGGCAGGAGGCCCCATTAGCTAAAGTGGTGCTTCAGGTTAAGAACAGTTTCAGGTTAAGAATGGACCTCCGGAACGAATTAAGTACTTAACCCAAGGTACCACTGTACAATGGTTCTTTTTGCTTCTGATTAGTAGTATAATAGTTGGTTTTGTCTGTAAGGCAGTTTTTATTCTTTTTAAACTGAAATGCATATTTATTATTTGTTGTAGCCTGGCTGAAATAAGTATTAAAATAGTGCCAGCTCTTAATAAAACAGCCCCCTTAATTACTCTTCATTCTAAGATGTAGAGCTGTAGAGAAGAACAATATGGATTTATTACAGTTCCTTCTGATTCCTGCTTAGTAATTCTGAAGTACAGGGGAGCTATACTAAATGGTTTTTTCCACTCTTTATGGTTTTAGATGCATTTTGTAACTGATAATACAGCTACTTTATAAGACTATTGTGACCTGTAGTTGATTGTATGCAAGGGAAGATGAGTTCTACATGAATGCTGAAGTGTTCAACCTGTGCATTCTCTTATGGCATAATTGGTATAAGTAATCTACTTGAAGTAGTCTCTACTGGTGGTACCTCAGCTTTGCTTTTATGCTGTGACACTTTTTCTGGATCAATGTGACCTTGAGCTGATACTCTGATATTTAAAAGTAGTGAAGATTTTGCACAAGGGCAACCAGGTGGGTGACCCTCAGGTTTCTTTAGCTGAAATGTGTGAAGTGTCCATGGAAACATTTGGGTGCAAGTTCCAGCTTTCATCTCCAAAACATAAGGAATTTTTCTTCCATCCAGGTGTGCTCAGGCCAAATTATACTTCTCAATCTGTCTTAATGAATAGAATAGAATAGAATAGAATAGAAATGTCATTATTGTACTGTTGTGCGAACTTCCACTGACAGTTGCTTTAAGGTTGGTGGTTATACTACTACTACTACTACTACTAATAATAATAATAATAATAATAATTTATTTATACCCCACCCATCTGGCTGGGTTTCCCTGCCACTTTGGGAGGTTCCCTACAAAATATTAAAAATACAGTAAAGAGATTATTGGCTTCCCTTCTTCATGTAGTGCATAGTTAAACTGTGGAACTCACTCCCACATGAGGCAGTGATGGCCACAAACTTGGATGGCTTTAAAAAAAGAGGACTAGATAAATTAGTGCAAGAGAGGAAGCAGTTTGGAGGCAGCAGTGCTTCTAAATACCAGTTCCCACAGGCATCTGATCCGCCTCTGGGAGAACAGGATTCTGAACCAGATGGGCCACTGGCCTGATCCAGCAGGCTCTTCTTATGTTCTTGAACTAAAGATGTGCCTGATTTCTAGTTTAATGGGTTCATTATTCCCCTAGGAAAAGGGGAGCTATTTTTCTTATGATTTTGTGGCAGGTATTTGAAATTTTAAAAACTTTTACAAATTACTCATAGTGCCACGAGGAACTCTGCATCCTCCCAGCATGATAGCAGCATTCCTTTGGAATATTTTTTAGAAAGTACACCAACAGGGGCAGAGCTTCAAGCTCCAGTGGGGCGGGGAGAGAGCAGGCGGGGGCGTGGCTGGTGCACGTCCCGGGGGCTTGGCACTCTGCCCGCAGGGGCGTGGCACGCATCCTGGGGGCATGGCGCCCAGCAGGGGGGCAGCCACGATGGCACTCCACTGGGATCGTGCCACCAGGAGCAGTGTGCTCTCCACACACCCCTGTTCCTCCGCCAGTGTACACCAGTACCGTAACAGTTATTAAGTAAGATAAGCTTCAAACCCCCTGATCCCGATCCTCAAATATTCTCAGAAATTCAATCATGCCATTAAGTTTTTGTGGGTAACTTCACCTGTCCCATCCTAGCAAATGGCCAGGAGAAGAACCCCTTGACTTGATCCTTGTAGAACTACTTTGAACTTTGAACTCTATTTTTGTTACTGTTCTCTGTTCTTTGCTTCAAATTATTTATTATATAAACTTTTGCACTCGCATTGGTATTTGCTTAAAATTCTGTAAAAGTTCTGTTTAGGCAACCCTATTTAGGCATGTAGATGTTACATGTGTATTTTCTCTTTTAAGCTACTGTTGGTTTCCATCATGTTTTTAATTTTTTTAAATACTTGTTTTTAACCGTCTTTATCAAGAATGTTAATGTTTTGTTTTCTAATGTTTTCCATATTTGTAAACCACTTAGAGGGTGTGTTTTTTTACAGCCTAGTAGTATATAAATTTTACCAAGTAAATAATAAATAAATATCCATGTTGGCTAAAGTCTGTTACTGAAAGGTTAGGTTTTAGCTTCAGATTTTCCCTTCCCCATCTCCATAATATAATCTGGGCAATGTGGGGTGGGTAGCATGTAAGCCTTTTTTACTCTATATTTCAAGTAAGTGTGCCTCAAACCGCCAAAGCCATTATTTTTACTCTTAAATCATTTTATTCTTTCATGAATATATATTAACAGTTGCAACCCTTCTATGGTTATTGCCAGCCCACTAGACGCTACTGGCTTTTATGGATTCTTCTTGAACCCCCCAAAGTAAACAAGGTATTTGTAGCAAACACAATTCCATATGTAGTGCGCAATTGTCTCAAATAAATAGTGTTTCGAATCTCAAAAATAGTGTTGCAAATTCCCCCAAATTAGTTTTTCCATGAATTAGTGCACAAGGTCTGTATGCACTGGCCCAGAACAAGTAGATTTGGTAACCAGTCAGTTTCAAAAGCAGTTTCGAAAGCAAAGAGTGGGGAAACGTTAATTAACAGAGGTCATCTATCAAATGCCATCATTATCTGATTTAGCAGGCTTCAAAATGTCTTTGTAGATGAAGCTGTAGTTGGTCACATAATAACAATTCCCTTTGGAGTTTTTTTAATTCCTAAAACATTTAAAGATGTGCAGGCTTGAGGTTTCACTGTAACATTATAATATTTAATCTTCAGTTATAAAGCCCCTAATGCAAGATTAGTTGGCACTCTTTTGATGTATTTTTAATGTGACCCACAGCACCGAACAAGTTGTTCTCTGCTGTTTTTAAATAAATGTCTATATCTTATTTAGTAAACAGGCACCGTGAAACCTGTATATAGAGGAGCAGTATATACAAGATGTACCTTTGAGCAAGGAGCTTTGACGTATTTGGTACAAATGCTTCATGTTTCAGAATAAATGCATTGCAGACTGGCACATGGAATCAAATATTACCTTGAGGCTCCTTCTTTCAGTCAGCCACCCTTACCTAATCTTATGAATGAAACCTGAACCATCTGCTTGACAGATGGTGTGGGCAGGTAGGTAACCAAAGAAATTGTGTGTTTTTCTTGCAGATAAAGTTGTGCTTACCATATGCACTTTGTTTACCAAGTGCTAGTGAAGTCTTTAAAGAAAAGGCTTTATACCATCTGGATTAGAGAGCCATAATGGGAAGAGAGGCAGTTATGTCTGTACAAAGTGCCTTTCCTCAAACTGCTGTTTACTGGATCATTTATGACTAATTAACGGGCTGACTAATTCATATTGCTCAATAGTGGGTGGACCCTTCAACGCATAAAAGCAGATGTGAATGCTGCCTTTCCTCCCCCTTTGTTTAATCTACAAAACAATCAAATAGTTTAAAGAACTGAGCCCAAATCCTCACAAAACACTGAATATGCAATTACCCCAAACAGGACAATAAGTGCATTGTATTGTATTACAGCTTTTAAATCTAACTTCAGATTTTCACTGTGTTGCACAATGGACTTTCTTCTCAGTATTTTTTTAAAAACACTTTCTTTGGATGGAAGTGCAGCAATCTGGCAAAATTTAAACTAAATGAAGGTGGGGACCCATGAACAACTATTTAAACATATGTTTACATGTAAGCCTTGAGGGATAACTTTTTATTAAAAGAATAACTTCAAGAACAAGGGGTGTCCCCCGCCCAAGACAGGTGTAATGCTGTGAATAATTACAGTCCTGCAAAAAGATTAAATTAAATTAAAAAATAGTTGTAGAGCAGCTGGCAGGCTTACCTGCGACAGGTATCTCTCTATATTGAAGGTAGGATATGTTCTGTGTATGTAGGTTACAGTTTGTGTAGACATGTTCAGTATTTAAA